ATGAGGCCCGACTAATCAACATCAAGGCGCTCATCGAATGTGCTTCCGTCGAGGAAGCCTTAAGGCTTTTAGTAGCGAGCATGTTCCCACTACTGCATATATCTGACACCCATGTTATTCCTCTGTCGTCGATACTGCAACACATGTCGTGCCTATACTAAGATTGCTTGCAAAGTGGTCATTTGAGGAGTCTCTTCCTCAAACTCCCCCCAAAATATGGCATTTCTCCCAATAGCCACAATATAGTGACATATTGATAAGACATCAATGGTGTGATCTGCCATCGTTTGCTCCTCCTCTAAGATCTCTTGATGAGCTGGTCTCTGCGGGTCTCATTCTACATCTGGTGTCATGTAAGGATGTGACACTCTATAAAACTATTGGATGTAGCAGTATATTATACTCCATGGGTGAGAAGTTGACATACGAAGTTCATCCTCTGGATTCATATGATCAAAGTACGATGCAAAAATATCATCGACATTCCTGCGGAGGACAATGGTGGAAGCATCAACGGTGGGGTCTCTAAGTATACCCTGGATATACCAAAATAAGTCACCATCATGTTCAATGCCTTAGGTCTGTTGGTTCTAGAGTAGTTTAATAATTTTCCCTATATCAGAAGATGAAAAAGAAATGAGACATCATCAAATGTAATGGACATCTCACTGATCGGATGATGAAATGACAACGTTTGTTTGTGCATTATCTCTCCATAAAAGTAGACAGTAAACCATGGTTAATATAATCATAATTAGTCCTGCATAAATCTTGCACCCGTGATAGCTTCATGACATCCTGGAACCATGGCTCCTCAGGTTGCACCAGCTTTGTAACCTTCCTACCATGATTGATACATTTTAATATATCACGGTACTACAAAAAATAAATACACCGTCAGACAATTCATTATTATAACAAAAATGTTAAAAAGAGTAATTAAAATATTTATACTACTTTTCCTTTCCACACGTGCCTCGGAGAATGGCATAGATACAGAGGAAGCAATTAAAAGTCTAACGGGGATCTTGGGAAACCCTATAGGGCATCAGAGGCAGGAGGGGCTTTTGGGGAAGGAGGGGCTCCTGGGACAACAGCAGACACGTGAATCCAAAAAAATGATGTCAGAGACACGTGAACACGTGAATACGATCCCTCGCCAACAAAAGCATGTTGGAACACTTTATCATGTTTTAATTTTCATGGTTGTCAGACATTTTTGTGCAATCAAACAAGGACAACGTGGAGATGTCATAACATGAAAACATAAACAAGTCAAACCAAAAATCAAATAATAGGTTATTCTGGTTTCTAATATCCGGACTAAGGGTCTAGCTTGTACAATCTAGACTGCATTGAGATAGACATGCGAACCAGAGAACATAGAGTGTGAACCCTAAGCTCTAGTGCTCAAAAACTCAATGCAATGCAGTTCACGAAAAAACAAATGGCACGCCTATTGTATTTAAGCCTAAAGTATCATACATGTTAACTATTTAGGTAATGTATGCATAAGAAATCAAGAAAGGAAATAAAATGAGCAACCTACCAATGCAATGGAGGGGAACTTCATATGAGTGCAATGCAATGGAGTAGAGACGTCATAATTTTCAATGCAATGGATAGAAGCTATGAGAAGGCTCAAAAATGGTGTGATAAGCTCTTTAAACGCAAATGAGGATCTGGCTTTTTGTTTCTCTATTTTTGTTCTTTTGCAGAAATGAAAATAAGATGGAATAGAAAAAGGTGTGAGTTTACTTAAACAGAAGCGTCTGAATTCCAGTCTTCATAAGAAATCTAGATTTTGGAATTCGTAGTAGTTTTAAATTGTTTGGCCTTGAGGTTGACCATGGGCGTGAAGTGTTGGGCAGGTCTAGAGATTAAGTTTAATCTATGTAATCTACTATATGGAATCCAATCTTTAAAGTCTTTTAATATCTAACTTTAGCATGTTCTAGAGATGGTTTGTTGTGTATTACCTGTGTGCGGATTTTAAAATCTAAATTTGAGGGTTATTTTTGACATTTCACTAAGGTTTGTAAATAACTCATATAATGTAATGAGTAATGCCCAAAATTATCCATTTTAACGATAGCTGGTGGCAAAATTAAGGATACCTTATCTTTATTCATATCGGTTGCCATAGTTGGTGGCAAAATTAAGGATACCTTATCTTTTTTCATATCGATGTTACTAGTATTTTAAAAATTGAATTGATTTGGTCGATCGAACTTAGAATCAGAATAATCATCAATTTGATCTAATTGTTAGATCAGATGAGCTATTAAATCGGTGAGAACCTGTAAGAATTGATAAAAAAAAAATAGGTGAACTGTGTGTTTTAAAAAAACGACGGGCTAAATGCTTGTTTTTTTTTTCAAATAAAACTTTGTTTTGATAGTTTTTTTTAAAAAAAATTAAAATGTAAGTAGATTGTGTTTAAAACTTATTTGAAACAACTTCTCTGATTTAGAATTTGAATTTAAAGAATGAATCTGAAATTATGATATTTTAAAATTTTAAAGTTTTCATGAGGTTTTCTTAAAAAAAACGGGTTATTTGATTCAACCACGGTTTAATTACTATATAATTATGTTTAAAATACTTATTTATTCAACCGAATTATCTTATTTAATTCAACTTAATTATACGATTCAACCAGTGGCCGAGTAATTCAACCAATGAACCAATATCCTCACTAATTAGTCCAGTTTTTAAAAACGATCCCACAAAATTTATAAAGACTTGGATGAAATGTATATTTGACATTTTATATCAATGCAGTTGCTTAAGATCTATCAATGGAGAGAGAAGGACTTCGGAAAAAAAAAAAGTTAAAAATATAAAAAAGTCTTTGATAATTTTTAATGTATATCATCAACATATTTTTAACTTTATAATTGTTATAGATTATATTTCAATAATTTATCTAAATCTTCTAAAATCTTCCAAATATCTTGTTCAATACAATTTTTTAATTCCTCTAAATTAGAAGAATTTTATTTTATGAATATAATTAAATCTCAAAACTCTCCTCGCTTAAATTCCTTTATTCTTTTCACTCAATCTTTCTTCTTTTTTTCAAATTCTCCTCTCCTTTCTCCTCCAAACTCCCAAATAAAACCTAACTAAAAATAAAACCAAATATTTAATGCAATCCAGTAAAAATATGGTTGGAACTTGGAAAGGAGACCTCAATAAAGTCTGTAGATATTTCACATCAATAACATAGTTACCAAAATCCAAAAAAAAAAAAAGAAATACAATGCAAAGTCTATCAGAAAGATTTCTTCAGACTTTGGTACACAATTTTCAGCACATTTGATGATCAGCAAGCTTCCACTAAGCCAAGAACATAAAACACTGAAACAAATTTGACATCATCAGGCTAACATTTAAAGAATTATCCCATTCTAGGGCCTTTTGAAGTAAAAAGCTAAATTCCCTTGCTTCTCCCTTTCACACATAATGCATATAGGACAGAACCAAAATCAATGCTCACTGCTCATATATGTTGATGTGTTTCACATTGAAGAACAACATCATCATTACATTAAAGACAATAACCAGTGTCTTGGTTGCATCATACTCTATGCAGCAGGTGATGCCATCCAACCTTTCATCAACTAAAACTTTGTGAGATTTCACCTGCAAGCATGATTTCACTTCCCCGTAAGTCTCGCATTTGGAATTTCAATGGTAGGAAGGTTTAATTAATGACAGTCACATGAAAATAAACAGCCATAAATCAATTAAAGGCTCCAATGTTGATTTTCCAATTACTAGCAGATTCAAGACAACATTAAAATACTTACATTACTAGCACAATTCAAGGTCTCTGGCTATTGATGTGCAAATCAGACTCCCCTCAATCGTAGAATACTTTCATTTGGCAAGTATTGCCCACAAATAAATCCAAACAGCAACATTCAATCCACGGATTTGCATGTATGATTTATCCACACGAGATTATGGAAAGAGCAGATGAACATGCTACAAAGCCGTCCAAAAAGCAATTTAAAAATCAGACAAGGATTAAATTCCACATTATCATACCCTTTTTCTTTTTAAGCATTATCGTACCTTACTATGATTAAAGCAGTTAATTGTTGATGCATCTCATGTGTTTCCATTACAGCTCAGTAAATTTATTATAGACCATACTCACCATCCACAAAATTCCTCATCCTGCACACACTTCTAATCATGAGTTCATAAGACCTGGCAACTGTATTAACTATAACTCGAATGATATGACAGTGTAAATCCAGCAACAAAAAAAAGGAATAGCCAGCAATGTTGTAAACACAATTATTTCACAGATGACAACTATTAAAGGCATCAATTCAACAAGCTGTGATGACAGTGTCTGATTGAGACACATGCCACTCAGTTATCATAATATTTGACAGCACTCGGTTTCCTAATATTTGGCTAAAAAAGTGCAAAAAACTCCGAAAAATTGACTTTAGGGGTAACTAAAAGTTTTGTCCTAAATTGTACAGATTGATCAATCTTACGTATTTTTTGGCCTAAAGTGAAAATTGAGGAAACAACTTCCTAAAAATAATAAATGACTATTTATTTAACTTTATCTGTAATAAATTTCTATACCTTTAAGACTTCGTCTAATGTGCACAAGTAAGATAGTCTTGCACCATGCAAAGTGGGTTTTTTTACTATTAGATCAATAAGTCACATCATATCTCATTTGATCCAATGGTGGAAACTAACTAGTGCATGATGCAAAATTTATCTCATTTTTGCACCATAGAACTAACCTAGTTTTAAAGTGTAATTAGTATAATTTTAATTCCTTTAACTTAGCACATCTAGTTTTAATAGTCACATAATCACTAAATTTCCCCATTAAATTTCCATAACAAAATGTCAGTTAAAAGGAGGAGGGGGGGTTGAGCTTTTCACCTGGGTTCTGGATCAGCTATTGAAACCCTTTCATTTAGATTTAAAATAGGCCACAAAGATTTAGTCAGCATTTACTATGTTTGATATCCCTCATCACTGCTCCCTTTGGACAAGATCTGCAGTACTGTGCCCTTGGTTATCCAGGCAGTCATTTCTGGCTGTTGTTCAAAGGGATTAAGAGGATGCTTGTTTCCATCTTCAAGCTGCACACCATAAACAAATGGTAATTTAAGGGTAAGGAAGCTATCTGGTGGCAAGATCACTTGACATCCAAGGCTAAACTGCAATTTCCGTTCACGATCTGGAACTGATGAAGGCAGGCATGATGCCTACAAGGATAAAATAGTGTGATGATTATACAATTGAGAAGAATAACAAAAGTATAGCTATATTAATACAATTTTAGAAGTCCGAATAACAATGCTGGAAAGGAGCAATCTAACATGCAGAAAATGGATTTAGTAAAATATCCCCAAGCCACATAAATTTAACACCTAAAAGAAATACTCTTCTATATAAAATATGCTATAAAATAAGTTGGGCCGAAAACACAGAAGGTAGTTTATCTCCAAAAAAATAAAAATAGGGAACACATTTCTCCCAACTTAAAACACCCATTTTGTCGAGATGTATTACTGTTATCTACCCGAGTCTTTGGCATTTTAAACATGTACGTTCCAAAAGAAGAAAGGCCTACCTCAAATTGCACAACAGGGCATGTGGCTAGTATTACAGGAAATGCTGGTGTGACCTACAACAAGATATATATATTAGGTAGCTGATCTAATAATAGCAATTGTTATATTACATATACAATTATCATCATAACATGAAAATAAACTGAAAATCAAATATCATGTGGCATCCAATACATTCGCCAGCAAAATCAACAACACAGTTTTCAACCACTCGTGTCAATGGCTAGCAAAAGAAGTTGATGAATAGTTCATTAGTTAGAAGTCAATTTAGTCTTGTAGATGCCAAATGGAAAACACAGCTCTCTATAAAATAATAGGCAGTTCAACATTTTTGTTTTACAGTGGAAAAAACTTGGATCAAGATTTTTATATCGCCAACAAGTTATCAAATAAAAAAAATTACACCAGGATATATTTTTCTAATTCGCAAACACATTCTGAATGGAGGAGGGTATTCAATTTTGCAAAATACATCCTCGTGTCATAGTCTGATTTGAGAACTTTATGCAAGTTTTTTCCTTTATTTCAACAAAGAAAACCAGTCTCTACGTCAAGGTTGAAAGTATTTCATTATCCACGTGGTGTCTTTCTTTTACAGTATAACAAGCATTTGTTAAAGAAAGTGGTCCCCATCAATAAATGATTCCTTACCTTGAAATACATTCATAGAAATTTTGGTTTATCTTATGCAATAAAAAAAAGAAAGTGAAATAATCTAAAGGAGATGAAAGCAAATTAAATTAGGGTGATATTAGCCTTTTTTTACAAAAAGCAAGTGCGCAAATGCAGTTCACAGACAAAGTGTAAAACACAAAAACAAAAGAAAACACAAATTTGAACAGTTTTCAGTATTAAAACTAATTGATGCTATTGAAACTTAAATAAATGCTTATATAAGGTGAAACTCATACCATAAAAATCCTTTTAAGCTGTGAGATACCGCTAGCAAACTTAACATCTGCTGTATCTTTCTTATTCCTAGAACGCCTGCAGTGAGGACAGATCATATAGATAGGCAAATTTCGGTTCAGCATGGAGAATGCAAGTTCATCATCACCCTTGTTATTAGCATGCATATCCCATCCACTATCTTTCATAAGATTGGGGGGTTTTGCCAATATATTCACAGATGTCATATTTTTTTCCTTCAGTGGAATAGAAGTATGTACTGGCCCATCAGCATTCAGATAACCATTGGGAATGACTTCATTTGACTTTCCGACATCTCTTTCCTTATTAATGGATGGAGAAAGAATTTCATTTGAGCTTCGATGAACTTTAGACCAGGAAGCATTATTGCTTACTCTAGTATGAGATGCCTGATTTCTTTCAGTGGGCTCCATAGAAGAAGATAAATGAGATTCGTCAGATGATGAGTAAAAGGATCCAAGTTCAGTGAGATGATCTGCATTTAACAGGAAACGATGGCCACGGGGGCATTCATGTTCAAATCCAACATTGACGATTACATGCTTTAAAGAAGAATGGGGTTTGCTCCTTTCACCGCCATTAAGGTGTACAGGTACTACATTGCTACCTATCCTCAAAAAAGGGTCACTATCTCTGAGATTATTATTTCCATTGCCATGAAGAGGTCCCTCAGTAAATGACATATCTTGAAATTTTAGAGATATTTGATGATCGATCGTTGCATTAATCCTATCTGTATTCTGATTACATGGCCTGCTTTGTTTCATATCTTTCTCTGAACCTGATGTAGGCAATTTCCTTTGCTGGAGAGGAGGGAATCCTGAATCAACAGCCGCTGATCCAGCAACAACCTCAGAAAAAGGCTTTCTCATTTTGAAAATGGGAAAACCTCTACCGAAACTTATATCTTTGTTATCAGCTTTAGTAATATCTAAAGGTGTTCTATAGTCTTCCACTCCACTCTCCACAGCAGGGTGAGTTTGTTTATCAACGGTTTTCTTTGCATCTGCAATATATTCAACATTAGATCCCCTAATTACAGAATTTTGTTTCACTATACTCTCGGTTGAACCATTTAGCCTTTTATGTTTCTCCAGGTATATTGTCCATTTCAGAAGATATTTCTCAGTAGCACAAAATCCACTCTGAAGTAAGCCTTTGGAAGATTCATAGTATCTTGAACCTCCAATACGCAGCAAACTCCAAGCAGAAGACTGAACAGGTCCTTCAACTTCAGTTTCTGGTAGTTTGACTGCAGGAAGTAGCTTATCACAGTCAAAGAAGCCGCAAGAATCAGCTGATTCAAAATCAAACGGATCTGGGTGTAACTGTCGTGAACGGCCACAAGCACAGGCATGCAGGAAAAAGTAGCCACTTGAATGTGGCTTGGACAAAGATCCCAATTCTGAATTACTGCCATCAACATCATGCCTTTGGTGCCTGCACGGTTTGCCCGTCAAACTAACAGCATCACATAGTTGCCTTCCTGATTTCCAAATGGAAGAGCATTCCTCTTCCAATGTTTTTGCGAAAAGTTGCACTGCGGGTCCTTTTACCTTTGAGTGAAATGCATGCAAAGCCTTATCTAAGTGAGTTTCATGTTCTGATGTGGGATAACAAGCAGGCAAATCTTTCAAATATATCTCCTTTGCAGCTGGAATGGCTCTTTGGCACCACAAAGTTGAAAACTTAGTGTTCAACCCTCTACCACATTGTAACCAAGATACTGCAACATCAAAAGGATCTGTACCCTTCAAAGATTCTTCCACTGCAGGTGAAACAGGGTTCCTTGGACGAGGTCTTCTTTTAAAATATTCTAATTCATCTAAACAACCCCCTTTTGCACAGAAAATTCTACTCAAGATATTACGACTTGAAGTTAACCAAGATTCAAAACTTGGAAGATCAGGAGCATTTAGTGTTTTGCTAGATGCAACTGAGGCAGCCGCCGCTGCTGCTGCCACAGCAACCATACCAACACCAGAGCCACTGTTGGTATTAACTAGCCCCCCTCTCCCTCTCAAAATATCAGATTGCCTGTAAATGAACTCTTTAACAGATATTAAATCCTCTTTGCTTGCTATTTGTCCATGGCTTTCCAGCAGAAGAGAATCTGAGGTTGCTTTCCCATTCAAGACATCTTCAACAAGTCCTGTGGCAAACTCAAGAGATTCACCTTTATTAACTGAAAGTTGATCTAACAAAACAACTGCCCTTGATGCATCAAGTGAAAAGAGAGCTGTAGAAGCTGAGGAACCCCCAGTTCTCACACCAGGGTGAGTAACTTCAGAACCAGATAATGTCCTACATTTCTTAATCAAAAAGCGAAATTGCGCTTCAAGAGACGACTGTAGTTTCTTCCTAAATCCACCTTCAGACCGACTTGCAGGACGTGCCAGCACAACAACTGAACCAGAACCTTTAGTAGAAGCCAAATTTGCCTTGGCTACACTACCCAAACTAGAAGACTGGTGAAGCGAAGAGACATCCGAAGAGTCCTCCCCATTCATACCGGAAACCGATAAATCAGAAAAGTCATCCACAAACACAAACAACATCACAGGTATGCACTGTCCTGGAAACAAAGAAGTATAAGATCCTAAACCTGACATGAGAGACACAGCTGACGCATTGCGATTCAAGTTACCAACACCTCTTCCAGGAGAAGAATTATTCCCTGACAAGGCAGCTCGAGAAGATAATGAAACTGAAGAATGCACTCTGGACGGTAAGGGTGGCGCACCGCCTTGTGACCTAGCAAACGGAGCCATAGCATGCTTTGCTGCTTGTAGCACACGAAAATTCTTTAAAACCCTAGTACCAAACTGTGACCCCTCCTGAATATATATGATAATATGACAAACCTGCATTTCTAACTAGTTAATTACATTACACCAACCACTCAAAATTTCACTACTATAAAGTACACACTAAACACACCCAGCTATAACATAAAAGTAGCTAAATCTAAATCACTAGCATTACAGTTCCTAAATCCTAATTTCCTAATCCAATCTGGTTTTGTTAACATAATCCTACTCTAATTCAGCAAACTTAGCACAAAGAAAACAGAATTTAAAGAAAATTAAAGATAATTGCCAAGGCTACGATTCGAACGCGATAAGATTAAAGCAATGATTATGAAAAAGACTTACAGAGAACATGAAAAGCATTCCCTGTAGGTCACCGAACTCATGCTCTTCAACAACAGAATCGAATCCCGGCGAAGGTTCAACCGAATCGTGAACGGTCGAACAACGAGTAGAAGAGAAGTGAAGAAACAAAATCCCCTTATCACGGTCACGAAAGTAACTAATTCTTCTACGCTTAAACCATTCACTAGCTTCTTCATCATCGACGAGTAACGCCTTATCGAGGTTGCCGGAAGCGAAGACGTTAGAATCGATGACTCGGTTGAGCAGGTGAGTTGAATCGTCGTATCGTCGCGATATAAAACCGACGACTACTACACCGTCGGAGGAAGGAGGTGGCGCCGATGAGGGATGAACGGTGGTGGAGGAGGAGGAGGAAGAAGAAGCGGAAGAAGACGGTGGTGGACGAATGAGAACTCGAACCGGAGATGGAGAAGGGTTTCGAGCCTCCATTAACAGAATCTGCTAAACTGTGTCTTCTTGGCTTGAGAATTTGATTTTTCAATTTGAAACCATTTTTTTCTGGTTTATTTATTTTATTTTAACTTTTGGTATTTTTATTTAAACTTTTTTTTTAACTTGAAGTTAAACGCAGTTTACACTTGCACTGCTGTGTTACTTCTTGCGGATTTTCTCAACTTCAAGTTCGGTCTTAAACGGTTAAACTTACTCCTCAATAGTATAATCAACCCCCAGCTTTGGAATCTATAATCAAGTTATTTTAAAGTAATTTATTTGTTTTTAGTCAATATTACAACACATTTTTTAAAATAAAATAGTAACAACTCTTAAAAATGCAGAACCTCACAACTAGAATTCACATGTTAATGAATAGTTAGTATGTCCAATAGTAATTGAGGACTACAGTTCAATCTTTGCAAATGTGATAGAAAGGTTGCAAATGTGATACAAAGGAGGTTGGAATTATTTGATATCAAAATTAAAGGTGTACACGAATTTTGTAGAATTGGATTTGGCTTAACCATTTATTCAACTCGTTCAAACTTCAATGGGTTGGGTTTGTCATCCAACCCGCAATTTTATGAAAAAAAATTTTCATATCTCTACACTAAAAATTTTTGGACCAAAATACCTTCGTATAAATAGTTATAATTTTAGAAATTCTACTTTCCATTTTCATTTCCACTTGAAGTCTTCTGAGAGATTGATTTTTTCTCTGTATATCGGAACTCATATCACAAGTCTTTCGGTTCATAAACTGTATATCTGAGGTGTTAGAGTAAGTCTTTCGATTTTGGTTTCGTACCGGAAGACATTGAAGAAGTCTTCTGATATACTGGTTTTTTGAGTTTACATACCGGAAGTGTTAATGCAACTCTTCCGGTATTATAGTGTTTTTCGTTTATTTAACGAAACTCATTGTTGAAGTGTTTCGGTTCGGTTTCATTAACATTCATACCGGAACTCATTGTTGAAGTGTTTCGGTTTGTTTTTTTTACTTTTTTTTATGTTTTTATTTATTTATTTCTTATATTTTTAGTGTGTGTGTGTGCGCGCGCGCGTGCGTGTGTGTGTGTGTGTGTGTGTGTGTGCGCGCGCGTGTGTGTGTTTAATTTTTTGTTTTGTTTTTATTTTAGCAGTAATGCGCACACGAGGCAAGGATGGTAGGATCCCTGATTGCGGTTTAGGATGGGGTGAATCATTTAGAATGGCTGAGAAAGAGAATACTGGTGCATCTGCATCAGCAAGACAACCTGTTGGATATTCGGGAGAACCATATGATACCTCTCTTTTGGTTAAGTACGAACATCATATTGCTAGACATATATGGTTCGGTGAGGTAAGTAAACGACAACTATTTGATATTGAATAAAATCTGAATTTTTAACGTTGTATTTTATAATATATTTACTTTTAATTATTTTCAGGAAAGAGGTACGAAGAAAGAGTTGAAGGTAGCAGGACATAGGTTGAAGCTGATTAAGATGGTTCCACTATATCTTCCTGGTTTCCGCATTTGCGAAGAGATGGCATCTAGAGACATCTTCATTTCACATGACGTTTGGTGAAACGACGATTACTCTGGATGACGTCTCTTGTTTGTTTCACTTGCCCATTAGGGGAGACTTCTAGAGCCCTCAAGATATCAGTGAAGGTGTCGCACCCTAATTTTTGACCATAAGATCCCACCTTCGTGTGCCTGTTTCGTTCTCGTTTTTTACTTTTGTGTACCTTTTTATGGCTAACCAACTTGCGCAGATGCAGTAATTCCAAGACTAGCCTTCATTCTCACAAATTCGAGAGCAAGAGAAGTTTCGAGTGGTATCCCTCGGGACTTTAAGCATCAAATCTTCAAAGTAAAGATCAAGAGTTGTAATTCATGGAGGTTTAATTTTGGACTCAGGATTCATGTCCAAGGTCTGGTGGTTAAAGGTCCCCACCATGCAAAGACAATGTCAAAGCTACACATTGAGTTCGGATTTCAAAGCGGGATTTTTGAAGTCAAAATTACAGGATCCTGTTGTGATTCGCGAGATCAGAATTGCGACCTCAACACTTTGTGATTGAAGATCACCATTTAAGTTACAAAGTGTGATGCATATCATGGGTTGATTTTTTACAAGGGGTCAAAGATTCATAATATTACAAACTCAGGAACTCTCGAGCATGGTTTATAACCGATTCTGGAAATACGTAAGGTTTCATCATTCTTCAAATACAGGTTGGAATGCCTAGATTCTAGTATATATTTACACTGGTATTACAACATAATTTCTATGTTTATAAGGACGGATGATGTTTTGTTTATATATGGATACAATTTCTCAAACCATAAACATACAAATAACACGTTAAAGCTATACAAGCTTTTGCTAAAGTTATACAACGTCATTTGGATTCTTGCTCTCGAATACTGCTCAAAGCGGATATGCCGGTATTCACCTCAGAAGAAAACACCTATGTATAACACTTCATAACTCCAAGCATTGATGAACCCGATACATATGAGAAAGTGCTCACGTAGGCTGCACCGAGTTTGTGGTAGCACCGTCCGGCCTTGGCAGTTCCCTAAATACTCTGTCGTAGCCCCTGCATAATTTTAATCCAGTTTGGTTTCATAAGTCTCAATAGCAAAACATCAGATGTATACAAGTTCAAGATCAGCTTACCAACAAATAGAAGACGCCTTCCTGTCAAGTGGAGGTAAAGCTACCAGCGAACGTAAGAGGATTGGGAGAACTTTGCTCTTCAGAAAGACGGGACTGGCAGCTTGTCCACACGACCTGCACTTCAACAGAGGAAGTTGAGGTTAAGAATGTACCTCTGAGCAATCTCAATCAAGATGGATTTCAGAACGTACCAGTTTCTTTATGAACACGAGCGCCGTCTCCGAGTCCAGATCATGACATTAGAACTGCTGCAAATCGTTTCTAACGGTTCCCAAACCTGTCAAAGCAAAACACCATCGGTAATTAGAATACCGTTAAAGAGGTAAATTAAGAAATAAGTTCATATGAAGATAAAGAGTTTCAGCCCTCAGTTTAAACTCATCATCAGGCGGAAGCACGAGCGGCCGGGAGAGCAACAACCGAAGTTGTCGCCAACTCCTTACCGAACATTGAAAGATTGAATTTTGGACGGAAAACAACCAAGCTTCAATGGCTCAATACAATGCAAAGCGCACACAACTACAGGCAGCGGCAATTTCAATCTCCTCACGGTTCAGACTTATAAGTCATCATCACCGTCAAAGCTTTCTCGACAACGGCGTAGAACCGGCAGCTCCTGAACTTAAAGCCGAGCCCCTGAAAGAAGAAAAAAGTCAGTTAAATTCAAGACAGACAGCCCAAGAATTCGTCACAGAAAATTAAAGCAACGGTCGAGGACGTTGCAAACGCTTCAGAATTTATCAGCGGCGTTCAGAAGCAATTTATCAGAGGCAGTACATTAGCATTTCAATATCATCATAGTGCAAGCATCAGTACAACATTTCAACAACAGCATTTCATCCTTTGCAATCACCAGCAGAATAATATTTCCAAGCATAACATCAGGCAAGCTTGGCAGGCAACAGTAGCAGGTATTTCGACAAACAACAATAACAAAGTATAATAGCATTCGCAACAGCAGCATAGAGCAACACCAACATTTCATCGGTTGCGAACAATAGTAAGCAAGTAATCCCACACCAGCAAGTGATAGCACTGCAGCACAGAAACACATCAGCCCATGTTTACAAGAAGATAATGCCTCAGCAGGTAAACATTCCACAACAGCGGACAAATACAGTATCGGCTGCGAACAACAACAAGCATCAACATCTCAGATGCAAGCAACAACAGGTTTCCTCCATCACCTGCAAGCAACAATAGCAATATCATTTTAACATCAATGATATCAGTTCACCATCTACAAGCAACATCAACAGCGATACAACAACGGTTCATCATCTGCAAGCGCAAGACAAAATAGCAACACCAGCTAGCACTATTTTGCAGTAACACGCAAATTTGAAAGAATTTGAGAATTAAGAACGAAAAGAAACTCAGCCCTCAGCTCAATTCATCATCGGCAAGGAGGTTCGAGCAGCCAGAAGGGTAACGAAGACCGTCTCCAACTTCTTACCAAGCTCAAGAATAATCCAAGCAACAGAGGAAACCTAAGCAACAGAAATCAAACAAACGGCAACCGTAGTTTCGCCCAGCTCAGACTAAGCGTCATCATTGCCGGTTCGAAGCCTTCCTCAGCGAGCTCAAGATAAGGCAGCTTCTGAACTCTAAGTGTAATTTTTTTTGCCCTGCAAGAAGAAGGAGAAAAGCGTTAATTCAAAGTCAACGGACCCGTCAGAGATACGGTCCCAAATTTTACAAATCGATACGCAAAGAGGAAGGTTTAAACTTCCCTAAATCGGAACCGACACCTCTTCAATAGAATCAGAAAGAATTAACTATCGGTTCCCCAAATCAATCAAGTGAATCATACAACCATCGCCCAAATAGGAAGGTCTTTAAGTGGATTTTCATGGAGGCCCATCTTCTTCCTCTATAAAAGCCGCGAAGCACACCCACAAAAAGAACGAAGAAACCGTTACCGTCACAAGAGAGAAAACCCTCATCGCAACAACAAGAACCGACGCTCTCAAAGCTCAGATCAAAGGAGGCTAGTCATCACCGTGAAGCTCGAATCCTCCTCAAGTTTCATCATCGCCGCACGGAGGAGCAAAATCGAAGACCACGTCCTCGTGTCGCCGCCCTCATCATCCAGCCGCCGTCAACTTGTGTTTCTGGGTAAAGGTTTCTCTCTTTTGAAGTTTCATGCATGTTTGAGATCTGTTTGATTTGCAGGTTAGGATAAAGAAAAGTGTAGAAGGGATTGAAGAAGCGCGACGATGAAGATCGAGGAGAGAGGAAGTAGGTTAACGACGCCGCAAGAAGTATCGAGGGAGATGAGAGTTCATCTGAGTTGTTTGTTTTGTTAAGCTTGTAAAAATATAAATATAATCATATATGATGCACACACGATAGCTACTATACACCTTCACACACAGTCCTCTGATCTCCAACGGATCAGATCGGACCATCCACGCCGCGTTTCCACCGTGTACCCTCGTAGCCTGCGCCCCACTGAATTGTCCACCGCACTCAATCTCTAATCTTTTTTAACTAGCCTAATCATCACTTATTTTGTTTTATTAATTAATTAATCCATTAATAAACCTTTTTTTTTTAAATTAACCAATAACCCTTAGTTAACCTTTTCATTAAAGTTTTTTCATTTAACTTATATCAATTACTTAACATTTAGTTAATTAACCTTAATCAACCTTTTTATAAATTAAAATGATGCCTCTTAATTAATCCTTCAATAATAACTTTTATCTAATAAATCATTAATCTTTTAATTTGTCTCTTTTTTTAATTAAACTAATTAATCTAATGTTTTAATTAGACCTTTTATAAAAAGATTAATAACTTTTATAATTAACTTATACTTAAATCAACCCTTTCTTTATAAAATTAAACTAATGTTTTTATTTTATTAATTAATCAATTATTTAACTAGATCTTTTCTCTAATCATCTTTTTACAAATTAAATAGTTCTTTTCTAAATAAGTAATGATATATCTATTTTATACTTAATTAACTTTAAAATAATTTAATAATAAGTAAAATCTATTTTATGCTTTTTAAAATAAATAACAATTACCAACTTTTAGTTAATAAAAAATATTAACCAACAAACCATTTTCATATTTAGGATAGTTTTATAATAACAACTTTTATTAAAACTTATCCGCATAATTAATCTAATAAACAACCTTTTATTAAAATCGAACAACCTCTTTTCTTAAAATTAATCTAATATAATCTTTCTTCAAACCTATTCAACTACAATTAATACCCCCAAATTCAATTAAACGTGCACGCTTACGACTCCGTTCGCACACTCACAATTCACACACTTTAGCGCTTTCATGCGTTTATCAATGCTCTCATTTATCTGCCTTTACTTTACCGCTACTTATCTTTACCGCAATTTATTTTATCGCATTGCATAATGTCCAAAGGAAGAACCTGCGTATAACTTAAGCAATTGTGCGTATGCATCTCATTTGCATCATACTCCCCATTGATCCTTGATCCCATTCAAGCCGATCTTCTAAGTTTAGATCCTACCCCATAAGGAGGACCTTTTATCTTTACAACTTAGACAAGCACATTCAACAACCCAATATCAAACTATTCAAACATATTAGAGAATAAGATGTTAATCATCTTAAGCGAGATAAAACTTCTACCCCATAACAATTCAATCAATATGTATGGACTTTGCCTTAGGAGAAATAGAGGCGTACTTGTCGACAATCTGAGTACTTGAGCCCTTCTCTTAAGACGATGCAAAGACTATTTTCTTACAAAGTTGTGATGGTTAAATCAAGTAATCTCCCTTAAAATGACAACTCATCTTTTCTCCTAAAATCAATCAATCAACTACCTTTATCCCGTAGGAACTTTGACCACAGTCAAAGAACTCCTCAAACCCTTTAGGGGAACTACAGATACTCTG